GTTCTGAAAATGATTTGTTGAACATGTTTCCTGCTCTGATTTTCTTTTAAGGTTAGTTGTGTCACTACAGTATGTCAAAATGAAAACATGACTGTAAATTCAGACACGTGAAGTTGTGCGTAAAAGACTGATGCCAAACATGGTGAGGGAGTCGAAAACAGCAGGTTTTACCCTGGACTCCAGGGGGTTTAATTACCTGCCCCTGTATATACACCTGTGCACCTCTGACTGCTGACTCTGCCTCCATTAACTCATTTTTCTCATCTGTGTCAGGAGGGCAGTGCTGTCTCAGTACGGATGTCCTGAAGATGGGCGTGTCTCTGATGGCCTCGGCGTTCTTCTTCCCTTTACTCGTCTGGGGTGGTTTTGTGTTTCTGCCATTTGACGCCCCGCTGCTGGATGGTGCCCCCCTCCGGCTCGTCTACACGCTGCGCTGCTCTGTGTTCGCTGCCACCCCCATCGTCCTTGGTGAGTCACACATCACCGAAAAAGAGATGCAGAATCTCACCTGTCTCACCTGTGTGCGTCTCACCTGTTCTTTAGGTTGGCTTGTTCTGGGCATCTCACGGCTAAGGTCAGGTGTGCTTCGTCCTCTGTTTGATGATGAAATAAAGGAGGCGGAGCTACAGGAAGTCACTGTCCACCAGCGCTTCATCTCTGACTCTGCCTCGCTGTTCCTGATTTACTTCCTGCAGCTGGTCGTTATGGCGATGTACCTTAGCCAGGAGCAGCTGAAGCTTGTGCCGCTCCTGACCATCCTCTTTGCTTTTGGAAGGTGAGGATCCATCCACGATGTGATCAGTCGATAACGACATCGATTGATGAATCTAATGGTGCTTCCGTGTCTACACAGGTTGGCGTACTGGATCGCCGCGGCATTTGGCAGCAGCATTCGTGGATTTGGTTTTGGCATCTCCTTCCTGCCAAGTATCATCATGATGGGAGCAAACTTCTACTTCATCTTCACGATGGATGCGGCGAGTTCCATTTTCAGTGTTCCCCATGACGAGGCACCGCCTCAACCAGCAGGCCGACAACGGTTTTGGGGATAAGACACAAGCAGTGATTGATGATTGTCATTATCGATTGAAAAGTAAAATCTGTCTTTATTTTGAGGTTTAAATGCTTTAAAATGACCAGGCGTAGCCCTGCCCAGCTGGTGTGCGCGGCTCTTGTTTTTTCCTTTATTAAACTGCTTCCTGTTCTCTGCAGCTTCCTGTTGATCTTTTTTTTCTGTGTTTTATTTTCTACAATTGTTTTTATGATCAATAAATTAAAGAAAAGAGACTGTAATTTACAAATTTTCACAATAAAAGTTGGAAACTATCACATCGTTTCCTGTCTGCAGTGTTTCAGAATAATGTTGGTACAACAAACCTTTTTTTTTTCAAAGGACATGACAAAATATGTGATTTAGGGAATAAAATAAGAAACTGATTATTATTTATGTTACAATTAGATATTTAGATTTTAATTTATATTTATTTACAAAGGGTTTTTTTTTTTTTGCACACTGCAGCCTGTCAGTGTTGATGATTAATCATCTGCTGCTGTGAAGCTGATTTTTCTAGTTAAACTGGTCAAACTGTCATATGAAATCTGAGCACAGGAAGTACTCACACCCTGACTTCACAATAAAAGGATAATGTTTTTCATTTTGGATAAATAAGAATCTTAAATTTATCGTGAAGTATCAAGAGTCGATCATTTTTGTCCCTCTTTATCAGTATTTATAATTTGATAAGCAGAAATGACACAGGAGGATAAAGGGTTGAAATGTTTGTTGCTCTGAGGCATCGGAAACAGTATGCGTCATTATATATAAACACAGTTTCCGGTGACACAAACTAATGAGATCAATCGCAGTGATCAATAATCACGAGATCATTTACGGTTGACAGGAAGCAATTTTCTGTCTTCGCCATTCTGTCTACAGGGAAGCTTTTATTTTGAAGGCTCAGGTGTGTGAGGCTTTTGCAGGTAGACTGCTTTTTTTTTTTTTATTGTCACGGACTGAAGGAACTTCCGAGAGCAGCACTGCCATTTGTTCCTGCAAGATCGGCTCATTTACACCACATCCTGCCACTAAAAACGCCAAACAGAGAAGTTTTCTTCATGGAGTCCGTACCTGTGAGGAGGCGGTCCTGCCTGCTGCGCTTCAGAGAGCGCTGTCCGTTCAGGAAGCTCTGCAGACGCACGTACGGTCAGTAATCTCTGTTTAAATAAAGCTCAGTGAAACTGCTTTTGTAATCAGCTTTCAATAAACTTTAACAATAGGTGTGTTTTAACGTCATTAACGTGTTTAACCCTGATGAGGTCATCAGAGGCTGCAGGGCTACTCTGGGGGAGAGGCAGGGATCACCTGGACAGGTGAGAAGTGTGATATACTTCACCTGAGTAGAAACGCCATAACAGGTCTAAATTAAAGCTGCTGACCTTCAAAACAGATTCGAACTTGATCAAAATAACTGTGTACACCTGCGTGACAACCACTGTCTTAGCTTTCAGTTCTGGTTTTAACTCCAGTTCTTCTTCTGGTCTATTTTCTTAGGTCAAGCCACAGTTGTGGTTCGGTTACAGTCCACTGTCAGAGGCCATCATTTGTAACCTTCACTAAAGCAGTTTCTGTGCTGTGATGAGCTCTGAAACCTGACTGAAACTCTTCAAATAAACCATTCCTCTGCAGATGATCTGTTAGCTGTTTGACAACTACTGGTGTGTGAATGGGTGAATGACTGAATGTAGTGTAAAGCGCTTTGGGGTCCTTAGGGACTGAGTAAAGTGCTATACAAATGCGGGCCATTTACCTTTTTACTCTTTCAAGAAAGTTTGATATGAAAGGAAGGTTGGAGATTGGCCTATAATTAGCTAAGACTGCTGGGTCTAGAGATGCTTTTTAAGTAAAGGTTTAACTACAGCCAGCTTGAAGGCCTGTGGTACATAGCCGATTATTAGAGATAGGTTGATCATATTTAAGATTGAAGCATTAATTAATGACAGGACTTCTTTGAGCAGTCTAAAAAGAGTTGTTACAAAGGGCATAAAGCACCTCGAGGTGACTCTTGTTGCGATTTGGCTGAATTGAACTGATTCCATTTCTATTTCCAGTCGTGATTTTGGTCAGAACAGAGAAAGAAATCAGTCTGTCCCAGAGGTTGCTGACTCTTTATCGCCTCCTGTTTCCTGTGGAACAGACATATCAGCAGCAGATTCGTCTCCTATTGATCTACCTTGGAATGATGTCAGATTTTCCTCCACCAAGCAGCCAATGCTTCAGATGTTCCCACATTTGGCCAGGTGTCAGAGTTTCTCTCCTCCTGACCAATCAGACGCAGACACTCACATGGAGGAAGATTTGTGTGCCGCAGAGAACCATCAGAACCACCAGAGTCACCAGAACCAGCAGCAGGACGCAGAGGGCAAAGCAGACAACCATATGGGTGAGGACTGCCTGTGCTTTTAGTTTGAGCCTGCAGAAGCTGAACTGAGGAGTTCAAAACCAGATTTTTAGACCTTTGAAAGGAATCGGTTAGTTTCTGTCTTTTTCTCTTTATTATTTATATTTATGATTTCCTTGGAGACACATGCTAAGCTAAAGGAGCCCAGTTAGCTCATTTAGTGGATTAATTTTTTTCCAGTGATGCATGAATTTTACCCAGACCTCACTGATGTTAACATCACAAATGGACCATAATGTACACTGACTGAGTGGGAAGCCGTGACCGCAGAGGTAACTGCTTCACCCAGGAGCTCAAAGGCTTGCCACTAGTTGAAATCTCTCTGATTTTTGTTTTGTTGCTTCTTCTTGTTTCAGAGCTCGATGATGACGTAGACCCAGAAACCGGAGAGAGAGCACAGGGTTGACCCCACCCCCTTTCTGTCAGGAACTGCTGCACCGCCCACATCACCTACACCTGGGGGAAGAAAGAAGCCTGTTGCACGATCATGACCTAAAACACTGTCAGAATTCTAAAAATGTTTAAAGAGAATCACGTTTAAAAATGGATTTAGACCAGTAACAGATATATTAGATGACAATAACAGGTAAAGTAACATTTCTATGAAGAAATATGTGAACCTCTTATGATGATTAATAAAGGTAAAATCAGAGTCAGGTGTTTTCAGTTGAGCTGTTTATATTCAATTCAATTCAGTTTTATTTATATAGCGCCAAATCACAACAGCAATAGCCTCAAGGCGCTTTAAGGTGCTTTATATTGTACAGTATTTAAAGAACTATCTATCCGAGTCTGATTTCCACAACATGTTGTGACTCATGACCAGATGAGAAGTGAGGATTTCAGAAAGAGACTTGTTGGTGGTCATTGGGCTGTAAGGGTTCCCAGAAGCTTCCCTACTTTTATATTTTTCATTTGTTGCATCAATCAGCATGCACTTTGTCACTCAGAGAGTAAAAGTCCTGAATTAGCAGCTAAGAACCAAAAACAGGTTCCAAGAACTTTGGCAGTTTGTACTTCCTGCAGCATGGAGTGACCACAACTACGAAAATGTTCCCGCAGTCCAAAAGCATCTATGGTGGGGTCATGGTTTGGGACTGCTTCAGTGCATACAGACCAGAACAGCTCACCATCACTGATGGAATGATGGATTTTGACTGAGAAGCAGGACATCTGCCTGTGGATTGAATCGTGCAGCAGAGACAACAACCCTCAGCTCACAAGGAGAACATTAAAGAAACGTTCACGTGAGGAGATGTGAAGCTCAGAGTCCTTGGGGCTATTGGCCATAGCAGAACCTGGAAGCAAAGGTTCAAATACTTGATGTGATACTGGACCAGTCGCCTCAAGATGCTTTGTATTGTAAGTTAGACCATACAATAATTTAACATTGATAACCCCAACAATCATATGACCCCCTATGAGCAAACACTTTGACGACAGTGGGAAAGAAAAACTCCCTTTTAACAGGAAGAAACCTCCGGCAGAACCAGGATCAGGGAGGGGCGGGCCATTGATTGGTTGGGGTGCGAGAAGGAAGACAGGATAAAGACATGCTGTGGAAGAGAGACAGAGGTTAATAACAGATATGATTCAATGCAGAGAGGTCTGTTAATACATAGTGAGTGAGAAAGGTGACTGGAAAGGAAAAACTCAATGCATCATGGGAATCCCCGGCAGCCTACGTCTATTGCAGCATAACTAAGGGAGGATTCAGGGTCACCTGGTCCAGCCCTAACTATATGCTTTAGCAAAAAGGAAAGTTTTAAGCCTAATCTTGAAAGTAGAGATAGTGTCTGTCTCCTGAATCCAAACTGGAAGCTGGTTCCACAGAAGAGGGGCCTGAAAACTGAAGGCTCTGCCTCCCATTCTACTTTTAAATACTCTAGGAACAACAAGTAGGCCTGCAGAGCGAGAGCGAAGTGCTCTAATGGGGTGATATGGTACTTTACGGTCATTAGGGAGCGTTCACCCCATGATCAGAAGTTTGAGGGTTCAAATCCACCGAAGGCTACCTGCGGTATCCCTGAGCAAGGTACCGTTCCTACACATTGCTTCCTGGGTGCTGGATTGGCTGCACACTGCTTCACTGAGTGAATCGGTTAAATGCAGAGAGTAATTTCCCTACAGGGAAAATCCAGTTTTGAGATCCTTCCCAGACACCTTAACGCCCACTCACATCTAGGTTTCACAATGAGGTCACCCTAAACCCTGGCTGATTGTGACCCACACCCGTTTTCACACCTTGGGTTGTGTGATTAGGTAGAGGTTTATTAGGGGGTCCATTGTCCCTCTTGGCAGATTACTCCCACAGGGCTTAAATCTGGGACTCTCCACTACTTGACCCTTAGAACTGAAAAAGCTTGTTGGATGAGAGGTGAAACATCTTAAAGCAACTTAAAGAAGTCCAGACGCTTTTCTTTCCAAGCTCCTTAGACTACGATAACCTGGATGACTGAGAACCTTCACAGACATACAGGGGAAAGTATACAAAAAAAAAAGATAAGATGGGGCCTGATTGAATCAGTTATGATTAGTATCATCAGTAAATAAAGTAGCAGGTCTGACTGGATTCTCTTTAAATGCTTTTAGGGCTTGTTTAGGTTTAGGAAGGTTTAGGTCGTACTACAGAAAGAGAGGAAAATGTTAAAGGCTTTAATCTTTTTACTGCAACAGAAACGCCTCCATTAATTGTTTGTCTGTTTTACAAAGAACCTGAAACCTGAATCAGGTTTTGTTTTGTGTACAAGAAGTGTCACTCATCTGCTGCAGGTAAAGCCGCACTCAGACATCAGTATAAAAGGTTCTGCT